TCCCAGGAGCGAGCTGGAGCAGCTGGAACGGCCGGACACCGGGTACTCGGTCGGGTGGTCCCACGGCCGGGAGGCCTTTCGAAGCACCACTACYAGCAGCAGCGACGACGATGGCGACGGAGAAACCGACACACCGTCGCAGACGAAGCGCTACGACACGGCCAAGGGATCCTTCTACCTGGATCCCTTTGTGACGGGCTCCGCGAACGCCAACGTCTTTCCGCCCTCCCTRCAGCCCCGGCTCGAGGCCGAGCTGCTGCGGATGACGCGGTTCATGTCCAGGGTGGGGCTGTGGATCGCCCTGCTCTGCGACTATTATCTGTTGGTATACGGGGACAAGAGAGACGGCAACGATACTGTCGACGGCACCGGCTTTCAAACGGATGGCGTCGATGAGGAATTGATGGTRTACAAGAGCCTTGTCTCCGGAATGCCGGCGGCAAAAGCCCGATTGCTCTATTACTTTCCGCGGCAGCAGCAGCAGCAGCAGCAACAACAGGAACAACTACAACAACGAGACTCGCTGGCCGCCAAAGGCGACGACGACGACGACGACGACAACGTCTTCGACGACTGGTGCGGCTGGCACACGGACCACGGGAGCCTCACGGCCCTGCTCCCGGGGATGCTGTGCGGCGACGGGGACGACGATGCGGTTTTGCATTCGCAGACGCATTCGCAGACGCATTCGCAGACGCACTCGCAGACGCACTCGCAGCCGCCTATCGATTCCTCCATCGAAAGGCGGGGCAGCGGTCCTTCCTCCCCCCGCCGGAGGGCCGGCCTGTACATCCGGGCCACCGGGGGCGCTCGCCCTTGCGCTCCCGGCTCCGGCCCCTCCGAGCTCGTCCGCGTGGACCTCCGAGCCGACTCGCTGGGCTTCCAGCTCGGCGAGACCCTGGAAATCCTGTCGCGCGGGAGGTTCCGGGCCACCCCCCACGCGGTCAAGGCGCCGGGGGCGGCTTCCGCGGCGAGGGGGCGGGCCTCGCTGGCCCTCTTTCTGCAGCCCCTCCCGGGCACGGTGCTCCCGCCGCTGGCCGTGCTTCCTCCGGGGAACGGCAACGGGAACGGGGATTCCACCGCCGCCGATCCCTTCTCGCTCGCGAGCCGGTGGAGGGGGACCTTTGGGGAGTTCCAGGCGGCCACGATCGCGTCCTTTGGGTGAGGGCACGGCCGGGCCGGGC